TAGTTTACGTAAAATGGGATTGTCTAGCGTCGCCGACGTAGTTATGGAGCACGAATCAAACCACTGATTTTCTGACAAAAACACAACACAGCTATGTATTAGTCGATCCGAGTCATAACCATGTTTAGAAAAACATCGTACTTAGCATTTGCTTGAGGACAAGCAAAGTTTAAGTATGGGGGAGTTTGATGACACACAAATATGTGATATTTCTGGCTTGATATACACCAAATATTTCTCATACTTTAGTTTGAATTAAATTATTTTATAAGTATTATGCAGGTATTTTTCTATTTTTGAAGATATGCACTGAGCCGAACACTTTTGAAGAAATGAAGAAAAAAGGGTGCAAAAAGTAGTAAAAGAGCCTAAGGAGAAGAAACCAGCCCAAAAGCCCATTACAAGTGTGAGCACGTGGCCCACAAGCAACCAAGCCCTGACGACCGTCAAGGGGACGTGACGAACGTCACGCTCCATGAAGACCAAGTGACGATAGTCACTTGCGTGTGACGAACGTCACAACCTATCACCCCACTTTCTCCTCATCCAACGGACAGAAACACGTTCAAAGGTTAATCCAACGAGTTCCTACATTCTCTCACCCACTCAGTCAAAAGAGCAACGAACGTGACAATTAAATGGCCTATTATTTCTCAAGGAAGAAAAGTGAATCGTTCCTACATTTTCGAGAGCAACGAATCAAGCAAGCACTATAAATAGAGCCTGAGACCACAATAGAAAGGGTTCTTCTTTTGGGGCGAGAAAGTTTAGAGATTTTATTAAGCAAATATTATTTTCAGCAGAATATTATTTTCAGCATTATTTTCTTTTCAGCATTATTTTCTTTTCCCAGTTAATTCTTTCCAGCATTATTCTTTCAGCATTATTTTCTTCTGTACGGTTAAATATATTCTCCGATCGAAGCAAAGCCTACAATTTGTGCAGGAGTGCTTCTGTCTTCAGAGTTATTACCAGATTTATGTTTACAAATTCTTATTGCTTATTAATTAATATAATTATGTTTATTTGTGTTTGTCCTTTATATTATTCTGCGATTTGGTTTAATATTATGTCAGGCTAGAAATCTTATACCGGTATGTAAAGTCAATCAACCGAGGGAACGAGTAACTTAGTCGGGACTATTTTTACTACAAAACTTTCTTTTTTGGCCTAAGTTACTATTTTTCAAATCAATAAATTATTTTGTTACGGAAGTAAAAAACAGATAGAGGTTAGGGTCAACAAAGCGGAAGTTTGAGATCTTTTAACTGGACAGTAGTAATTAGGCATTGGCTTAAAATACAGCGGAAGCACTTTAAAGTTAATTAAGATTTTGTTTAGTTTCCAAAAAGTGTTTTTAACTCCTGCAGGATGGCGGAAGCGTACGTTAGGACTTAACTGTATAGCCTAGATCAACAAAACGACAGTGTGAGACGAGGGTTTTTAAACTAGATAGGTTTTACTGAAAACTGTTTTGAAAATATAAAGACGCCCGACAGGTCGCTAGTTCCCGAGGTAAGACTGTTGCATACTGGTAATTAAGCTCATCGATTATCAAAATACAACTTAATTTAGCGATTAGTTTCCCTACAACCCAAATCAAATATTCATTAGCTTTAGATTTACATAGTAACAATAGAAAACGGTAGATCGATTCATCAGTCTCTGTGGTTCGATATCTTTTAAAACTACTCGACAAGACTTTTTGTAGTCCGAATCATTGGATACATAAGTACAAATCCCACGATCAAAGTAGCAAAGTGATGAGACACCCGAAGACATGAGGGCAATAGCAGAGTGGTAACTCAATGGGATTGTTTCACATAGCTGTTTTCTTTTACACAAAATTGTATAACTTCTATTTTTACGGCGGTGTTCTCTTACTAGAGCGTCAGCCTCCTTGTACGAAAACGCCTATTACAGGTCAACTTCAAAAATCAATATAAAATCATTTTCACAAGAAACTTCGAGTTTTTCCCTTTTTATGTTTTATTTTACGAGAACGTCCAATGATTTATTCTTGACATATGCATTTGAATATGATTGCTGCTCATAAATATTTACATAAGAAACAAAAAGACAATTACTCGTAATTCCAGAAACAGGGGCAAAAATAAGAAGTGTCAAACCCGACAGTTACTCTGCCCAACAGGTGTCGGGACAGAAACAACTTTGGAGCACAATCATCGGTACATACACTCCCCACAGAGTAAAAATATTCAAAAGTATTGGTGTCGGTTTTCCCGAAACAGGAAGTAACCTCCCTAGCCAGGGTCATTTAAAAACCTGACAGCTATATCCCCTAGCCGAATTTCATAATCGCGAGCGGGTCAGTAAATTTCATCTCCCAAGCAGAGTTTATTTCTCTGGATACAGAGGCTCAATCTCCGACAGAGTTTACCTCTTCGGCTATGGAAGTTCATCCTCCAATAGAGTTATTTCCCCGCAGAATTATTCTCAAACAAAATCTCTTCTTGACAGAATATTCATGAACAATAAAGAGTCAATCTCCAGCATAGTCATTTCTGTTCACCATTCCCCGGCAGAAGTAGAATAACCGTAATTCTCTACAACAGTCAGGAATGCTATATTCTCCAGTAGTAGTCAGAGATTTATTTTCCCAGACTCGGACATACCCCAATAACTTGTTGAATGGTGCAAGAGACATCCGACTTTGTATTGTTGAACCTCTCATTGTTGCGAGCCTCCCAGATGCTAAATAGAATATAAGTTGTTGCCGCAATCAGTAACATAGACCAGTGATTCAACCTACCTATGGAGCAAAAACTCCACCAGCTGTCCATATCAAGAGAACTGTTTTTCAACTGAGCATTATGTAGGAACCAAGACCAAACTTTCTTGGAGAAGAGACAGTAAAAAAAATGTTGTGATGTTTCAATGGAGTTTCTACAAAGGCTGCAAATGGAAACAACATTGCATCCCCTGATGCAAAGGTTCTCGTCAGTGGCAAGCTTGTTGAGCATCAACTTCCAAATAAAAATAGTTTTAGAGGGGGAATATCATGTCTCCATATAGTTTTAGCCCATGGCACGAAAGAAGAGGGTGCTTTGAATTTGTAAGCATCTTGAAATGTTAAAGCACCCGAAGTACAGAGGGCTTAAATAAACTCATCCTCCATTTCCAGATTATCAAGAAAATTCTGATTGAGTTTTTGTTCAAGGAAATGGAACAAATTAGCCCAAATGGTGGGAAAAGACCATGATCTATTAGTGATGTAGTCGTTGACTTTAGCACTGGTGAATATATAATGAAAAACTAAGAACTCGGCAGAAGTGTTCATAGCAAGCGGAGGGCCGCATCAACTGTCATACCAGAAATTGATATTAGAACCATTTCCAATAACCCAGGAGCTGTGATGATTTAGAGTGATCCATTCAGCTTTGATCGACGATCAAATGGAAGAGAAGTCATGATAGTTGATTGTGCCATAATTCTTTAAAACTCTCAGCTCTTAGATGATTGCCCAAGATTCCACACTTGTCCTGAGATTTCAAACTAACTTCAAATTCACAGCTTCATTAAACCTCAAGAGGGATCTCAGGCCAAGCCCTCCATGAAATTTAGGCTTGCACATCTTATGCCAAGCCACCATACAAAGCTTTCTTTTTACAATGGAGCCGATCCACATCTCATGGACTTCACATTTATTGTATTGTCAAATTTTATTATCTTTTTAACAATTTCTTTCGATAAATGAACAACTAATATTTAATAACAAAAATTACTTTTTCTATTTTTATAATTACAATTTTTTATATATTATATATTTATATTTACAATTGTTTTACAAATTTTTTATTTTTATTTCTATAATAAAATTTTAATAAATTTTATTTTTTCATTGTAAAAATTATATAAAACAGAAAATAAATAAATTATTTGATTCAAATATTATAAAATAATATTTTATTAACTATTTCATAAAATTTGTGAACAAATGCGCATATGAAATAAGTATACGTAAGCAGACACAATTTTTATATTAATTTTATATAATAAAGAGATTAAAGATTATTTTCCAAAATTGTGTTTTATTAATTGTATTAAAAAAATTAAGAGAAAAAATATAAAAAAAATTGTTAATTATTGTTTATAACTCTTTCCTTCTAAATAATTAAAAAAAATTAATTAAAATAAGGAAAAACACACGGCGCGAACCCCATATGCACGAATCCATTCTTCTCTAATCTATTCTATGAGACGGACGGCACATATGTGAAAGAGCTGAGGAACGATATCTACGACGGCGCGCCACCAGTCTCCGATCAGGTAAATATCGACACCTCCTTCCTTCCCTTCAATTTCCCGTGTCTCCGTTAGAACTGAATTCCTTCACACATTTTGTTTTGAATTTTTCTAAATCTAGTTGTTAGGGTTTATGTTTAATTTACCCTCTTTTATCTTTTGGTAGGGTTTAGGTAAATTCACTCACATGCAAGGTTTTAAGAAACGGTCCCGTCACGGTCGCGGATAGTGCTATTTTGTCACGACTTCTATGGCATTTGATTTTTATGTAAGTTGTTTTTGTTACACGCTTTTTGGCTGTTGCATTTGTGAAGTTTTTGTTTGCAAATTAAGAGTATTCAGGAAAAAAGTTGACTTTCTTTTAAGTGAATTTGTCTCGAGCCTATTGGAGGATCCCTCTGCTGAGCCACTTGTTGAGCCTATTGATTTTGTTAATGTTTTTACTACTGATGAAAAATTTAGCACTCGAGATAGCTTGTTGGAATGGGTTCGAGGTGAAGCAGTGAAGTTAGGGTTTGTTATTGTTATTACAAGGTTGATCATGGGTCAGATAGAAAAGACAATCAATTGTATTCGAATGTGAAAGAGGTGGTGTTTATAAAAAATCCAGCAAGCAGTTGAAACACCAAGACACGCAATCTAAAAAATGTGAGTGTCCATTTAGATTGCGGGGTTATATTTTAAGCTCTGGTGTATGGAAAGTTAATGTAGTGTGTGGAAAACACAATCATGAGATGGCCAAAAATTTACATGGTCATCCTATTGCAAGTCGGTTAAACGTGGAAGAAAAGAAACTTGTTTATGAGATGATAAATGACATGGTCCTTCCAAAAGATATTCTTACGACTTTAAAAAAACGAAGGCCAGACAATGTGACTACTATCAAACATATTTATAATACTATTCGCAATTATAAAAAGTCTAAAAAAGAAGCTGATGGTGTCGTCAAAGAATATCATCCAGAAATCTCTATTAAGGAAGAGATGGAAGCAGTTCAGGTTTGGCTTACTAATAATTGTGTACTAGTATTTAACATGTCTAAATTGGCCGATATAAATATGTTTAAATTAGCCAATCTAGACTAAGCGTTTGTTTGGTTTGGCGTTTGAACGCGTCTAGTTATGATTTTTAAGTGATTTACTTGAAGCTAATAACCGGAGCTTTTGCTTATATGTGAGAAAATGACGTGATTTCAGGCTCACGTAAGTCCGGTTAATCCAAAACCAGACTTGCCAAGCAAATCTTTACTTCAATTTTTATTAATCTTTTTGAGACATATATACTTCAGGCTTGGTTTGACAGTGCTGATTACAATACAATGATATATATTAAAGATCGGCTGAGTCAAATAGCCTTTCTAGAAATGACTTCACCGTGTCCATCTCCAGAGAAGGGTAATGGAAACCTACCAGTCTTTAAAGAAGAGACTTCACTGTGTCCATCTTTAGACTTGGGTAATGGAAACCTACCAGCCTTTCAAGAAACGACTTCACCACCTACCAGCCTTTCAAGAAACGACTTCACCGTGTCCATCTCTAGACTTGGGTAATGGAAACCTACCAGCCTTTCGAGAAACGACTTCACTGTGTCCATCTCTTAACTTGGGTAATGGAAACCTACCAGCCTTTCAAGAAATGACTTCATCTAGTCCATCTCTAGAGAAGGATAATGGAAACCTACCGGTCTTTTCAGAAAGGACTCCATCGTGTCCATCTCTAGACTTGAGTAATGGAAACCCTCCACTTGCTTATGATTTTGAAACTTCGTTAATGTGATGTTTTATGATTTTGAAACTTTGTAAATGCGATGTTTTGGATATGGTTTTCAACATGAAATATTTTTTTGGGGTCAAGTTTAAACATGAAATATCAATAAAGGCTTTTAATTTTGTTTGTCATATGACCTCATTTTGATTGAATTAATTAATGCTAAGTATGAACATCACTCTCCTTATTTTGAATCATGATTATTGTTGAGAAATGTTTCACATTGTTGAATCATTGTTGAGAAATGTTTGCATAATTGTTCTCTTTTGTAAAAGCTAAAATTGGCATTTAATGGAAAAACAAAATCACACCAATATTTCTTATACGTGGAAAACCATCTCAATGTGAAAGAGAGAGACCACGAGACATAGTTCAATAAAATATTTAGAAAAGCAGGATTACAAACTCTCTTAATATTAGAGGATTTTTTTTTCAATCTCACACAACTCAAATGTTATACAATATCTCTCAACTTTCACTAAGCTATAAATGAAAACAAAACTCATTTTTCCTCAAAGAGGCTAAAACTCTATTTCTCATTATCACTCTTGGATTCTCTTTTTTCATGGAATAAATAAACTCTTCACAAAACCTCATTTTTAGGAGAATGACATGGCTTAAATAAAAACTTCAAAAATATGATGGATATTTAATGGTTAGATTTTTAAGACTCCTGTAATTATCATCTTCATATCTTATAAGTGTGAATGTGTGGTCTCAAGATTCAAAGAAGGAATTCAAATCATGGAATGTTCTTCATCCTTTTCCATGTGCTAAAATTATTTTGATGGTTTGGATATGACTCATCATAAATAAAATAAGGAGGGAATACTAAGAAATCTTCCATTTTCTGGCTTAATTAGGGAACACTACTGTATCAACACATGTGCAACAATCTTCAACCTTCTTAATTAGTATAAATTTTGTCATTATATCATACTAATTAATATTTATAAAGTTTTTTTTTTCATTATCGGTTGGAAATAATTTATATTTTAAGAATATTTAGAAATATCTTTTTATATCTTTGTTAGAGAGTATTTTAGTATTTTATTATATCTTATTTTTGTGTATAAATAATTTAGTAGTAGATTAGAAACAGATAAGCACTCTTTAGTGCTTAGAGCACTCATCATCAAGTACTTAACTTTAAAACCGAGTTTGAATTTTCTCTTATTTTTTCAGTCTAAATAGTACCTGGTTTCCTCACTACTTTATTATTTAGATAATAAGTAGGAATAAATGGGCCGTTGATAACAAAATCCTACATTTCAAAATCATTTTCTTTCACAAAAACTTTCATTCCATAAGTCAAACCTTTCACCATCAAAGAGTGGAGGTGTATTATGAAAATACCTTTGTTAAAAACATAAGATGTGTTTGTAGTCATCCTTCTTTCTCCTTAGATGATTAGTATTATAACATGAGTTAGGGATCTGACACCACGTGTTGAACAAGTGATTTCAAACATTAGAAGGGGGAGGAGGGTTGAATTGTGGAGGTTGAAAAACGATATCCAATTATAAAAATATTATTTATGAAAACATTAAAAAAAATATAAATGAAACAAAGAATAAGCTGCAAAAGGTCAATGTAATTAATTATTCCTTATTCTGTAGCCGTCATTCAATATATTTTTTTTGTCTTTCATCTCTTCTTTGTGCACCAACAATTGATATCTAGAGCTCCGGTTCGAAATCCACGGGGAAACACGGGAAACTTCTAATTCTGTGGGATTTGGGAAATACTGTTTTAGTGAGTTTTTTGAGTGAATTGTACAAGGTTGAAGATGGATAGAAACGAAGATATAAATTCCAAACTTCCAGTATTTGATGGCAAAAACTGGAATCTTGGAAGATCCAGATGCGTGTGTTGTTTGGTTCTCAAGATGTGTTAGATCTTGTCACCGATGGCTATGCTCCATTAGAAGCAGACACAACAGAGGCACAAAAGATAATGCAGAAGGCGCTAAGGAAGAAAGATCAAAAGGCGTTGTTCTACATCTATCAATGTGTGAACGAGAACATGTTTAAGAAGATTGCTGACTCTGAAACAACAAAGGCTGCGTGAGACACACTGGTCAGATGTTACGGTGGTGACACATCAGTGAAGAAGGTGAAGCTTCAGTCTCTTAGAAAGTAATATGAGAATCTCAACATGAAGGACAACTAGAAGGTTTCTGAGTACATCTCTAAAGTGATTCTGATCACTAATGAGATGAAAGCTTATGGAGAAACTCTTTCTGAACAAGTCATCATTGAGAAGGTATTGAGATCTTTAACTTCTCAGTTTGATTATATTGTGGTAGCAATTGAATATTCCAAATATCTGAGCACCATGAGAGTTGAAGAGCTGCAAAGTAGTCTAGAGGCGCATGAGTTGCATATGACTGAGAGAACTTCTGAGAGGAAAGTAGAGCAGCAGGCTCTGAAAGTAACTTTTGGTAAGAAGTATCAGAAGCAAACTTGGTTAGAAGCCAGAAAGAAAACTAATGGTGGTCAGAGGTCAGAAGCTTCAAACTCTAATAGACAGAAGAATGTCCAGAAGGGAAAGGAGAAGTATGACAAGAAGAATGTTCAGTGTTAATGTTGCAAGAACTTTGGTCACTATGCCAAAGATTACTGGTCAAACAAAGAAAGGAAGTCAAAAGAAGCAAATATAACTAGAGGAGAGTCTGATGATGAACCTGTGCTATTGTTGGCTTCTAATTCTGATGATATGAATTCATCAGAATGGTGGTATATGGACACAGGGTATTCAAACCATCTTACTGGAAACAAGAAATGGTTGGTTGATTTTTACCCTGGGAAGAGTACAAAGATCAGATGTGCTGATGATAAATACCTCAATGCAGAAGGTATGGGAAATGTTAGAGTCATTCTAAACAATGGGAAAGCAGCAGTGATCCAGAATGTGTGGTATGTACCTGGCATGAAAAGCAATATGATGAGTGTGGGTCAACTGATTGAGAAAGGTTTGTCAGTTACCATGAAGGACAATCTTCTGAAGTTGTATGACTGTAATCAGAAGCTGATTATGGAGTCAGAACAGGGAAGGAACATAACATTCAAGGTGAATGTTAGAACTGAAGACTCTGAATGTTTTAGTGCAACAAGTGTTGTCTAGGAGAGTGAGTTGTGGCATAGAAGATTTGGTCATCTGAATTTCAGAAGCTTAGGGCATCTTAAATCGAAGAAGATGGTACATGGAATTCCTACAATTAAGAAGCCTGAGAAGTCGTGTAAGGTGTGTATGAAAGGGAAGCAACCAAGATTTCTGTTTGCATCAGAAGTAGCTTCAAGAGCAAAGTATGCCTTGGGAGTAGTGCATTATGATGTGTGTGGTCCATTTCCAGTAGAATCGATTGAAGGGAATAAATACTTTGTGTCATTTATTGATGAGTTCACCATAATGACATGGGTATCTCTCATAAAGTTCAAGCACGAGGTGTTTGCTGAATTCAAGAAGTTCAGACTGAAGGTTGAGAATCAGAGTGGCCAGACTATGAAGATTCTTAAAACTGATGGTGGTGGTGAGTATAACTCCACAGAATTCAGAAGGTTTTGTGATGAGAGTGAAATTGAGCATGAGGTTACTTCTCCATATACTCCTCAACACAATGGTCTTGCTGGAAGAAGAAATCGTACTTTACTTGATATGGTGAGAAGCATGCTGAAAGAGAAGAAGCTTCCTCATACTTTATGGGGAGAAGCTGTTGCCACTGCATGTTATGTGCTCAACAGATGTCCAACAAAGAAGCTGAAGGAAATAGTTCCTATTCAGAAGTGGATTGGAGATAAGCAAAGTGTTAGTCATCTGAAGGTGTTTGGTTCTGTATGTTACAAACATGTCCCAGAAGCCAGAAGATAGAAACTGGACGATAGAAATAAAGTAATGTTACTGGTGGGGTACCACAGTACAGGTTCGTACAAAATTTATTGTCCAGAAACTAACATAGTTGAGTTCAGCATAGACGTCATTGTAAAAGAATCAGAAGTCTGAAATTGGGAAAAGTCTCGTCCTGACTCTGATGAGAGAACTCCCGAGGAAAAGTCAAAAACACATGTTTCTGAAGCTGGTAAAGATTTTGACTCTAAAGAAGATTCAGAAGGTGAAGATGATTATGACTCTGACTCCGATAGTGATTCAGACTCTGAGAATTTTGCAGACTCTGAAGATAGTCAAGGTTTTGGAGAAAGTCCAATTTCTGAAGCAAGAGCTTCTGAAGGGGAAAGTTCTGGTGTCCGAGGTTCTGAAGTTCAAGTTCAGAGGCAACATAGAGTCAGAAATATCCCAAGAAAATTTGTAGAGTTTGACATGTTGCAAGACACTGAAGTAGATTCTGAATGAGAAGTTATTCAGTATGCAATGTTAGTAGATTCTGAACCCGTAAGTACGGAAGAGGCTCTTAAGCAGCAAGTATGGTTGCAGGCCATGAAAGAAGAACCTGATACTATAGAGAGAAATAAGACTTGGAAGTTGACAGAACTTCCAAAAGGCAAGAAAGCCAACAACGTCAGATGGGTTTTCAAGTAGAAGCTAAAGCCAGATGGATTAATTGGCAAACACAAAGCAAGATTAGTAGCAAGAGGATTTCTACATAAGCCTGGGCTGGATTACTCTGAAGTGTTTTCACCTATAGCGAGACATGAAACAATCAGACCAGTGATTGCAATAGCTTCTAACAGGAATTGGCCTCTGATGCATTTAGATGTAAAATCCATATTTCTGAATGGTCTATTACAAGAAGAGGTATACGTGTCACAACCTCCTGGATTTGAAGAAAAGAATCAGGAAGGGATGGTGTTCAAATTACACAAAGCCTTGTACGGATTGAAGCAAGCGCCCGGAGCTTGGAATCTGAAGATTGATTCATTTTTCAAGAGACAAGGGTTTCAGAAGTGTGAGATAGAGTATGGTGTTTATGTTCAGCACAATTCATAAGGCAATATGATTCTGATATGTTTGTATGTTGATGACATATTGCTAACAGGAAGTTTTGAATAAGA